AACAGTTTTCAAAAACAGATCTGTTTTCTGTTTTTCATTTTTACAATTAATTTACAGAAAAAAAAATTCTTAATTTTTTGAAAAACTTAATATATTTTTCTAGAATTTCAAATTGAAATGTTTTTACTTTTTCAATATTTTTTGGATGTTTAATAGGTTTGAAATCATTATCAAATTTATGATTAATCATTATTAATTTTTCAATCGAAGTTTTAAATTTGTTGAACCTTTGGTAGCATTTACTAAAGTTCAAAAATATAATCAACAATTTTACAAGATATTTTTTGATTTAGAAATATTTTTTAAAATATTTCAAATAAAATATTAGAATTTATGGAACTTTTACAATGCAACAATCAGGGTGGGTGATTTAAATCAAAAATCAAAATCTTTTTGCAATGATTTTTAAAGGGGATTTTGATTTAAATCATTTTACCCAAGTAATTTTTTTCTCGATTTTGATTTAAATCTTTTGTATGAAAGATTTTTTGGGATTTTAAAATCCCTCCATTTAAAATTTTTCTCAAATATTTTTTCAAATCAACAGTTTTCAGTTTCAGTTCCTCATAAGTAAGAATGCAGTTGATCCTTTTTCGGACAGAATCTTGCAACTGGATCTTTTAGATCCAATCATATCTTTAATAAAGGTTACAGCAACCAATGGTTCCATGCTGTTTGACTTACGCGAAATCGAATTCGTGATTTTTAATCTTCTGTGCCTTGCTGCTTACATTTAAATAACTTGACTTCATCAAGCATGCCTTGATCTTATTTTATACGAGAAACTACCTGCTTTCATTGCTTTTAAAATCTTAAATGACTTTTATTACAGTACCAAAGTAGTCTCCTTTTGTTTAATGAGTCATAAGCAAGAATAGGCACTTGAACTGCCTAGTTCCTTTTCATCCACAAAAATTTTTTTGTTGCTTTTTCATCAAGGAATCACCTCTTGAAGTCAAAAATTTTTTGTGGAACTGACCGGTTCCTTTCGTACCTGATGATCAAATATGACTGAAAATCATGCTTTATACTTATATGATTAGATAAACATACTTTGCAGTAAGTCAAACAATCAATAATTTGAGATATTGCGTACAAAAATTATATATGGAGGGATTTTAATATCCCAAAAAAATCTTTCATACAAAAGATTTAAATCAAAATCGAGAAAAAAATCACTTGGGTAAAATGATTTAAATCATAAATCATTTTTCAAATCATTGCTAAATGATTTTGATTTATGATTTAAATCCCCAACCTGATCATTATTAATTTTGCAATCGAAATTTTAAATTTGTTGAACCTTTTGTAGCATTTACTAAAGTTCAAAAAATTTTTTGAATATTTCAAATAAAATATTAGAGTTTATGGAACTTTTACAAAGCAACAATGCAATGTTACTTAAAAGTATAATTGTTTTTTTGCATTTTTTTATTTCATTATATTTTCAAGAGTTAATTAACGAAAAATCAAAAAATAATAATGCTTAGCTCTTTAATGTATGCTTAACTACTTATAACCACCAAAAAGTTTCATTATCTAAAAGAAACACTTAGGAAAACTCAGTTTATTTTGAATTCTAGAAAAACAGGAAAACAGCTGTTTTTAAAAATCAAAAACCGAAAACAGACTGTTTTTCAAAAACAGCTGTTTTCCACAAACCCTATACAAAGAAGAATGGAAGAAGAACAAAATATAAGAAAGGTTTGATTTCATGATGAAACCTCCTCCTTGATTAGTATGATTCTTTAGCTTATTCTAAGAATAGTTATTAGCAGCTGGAAAATAAAACCTTAAAAAAATTCTTCAACTTCCATACCAAAAATGCACAAAGCTAAAAAGAACAGCAAATTTCCAAATAAAAGAACATCAAACTGTTAAATAAATTTACACGACTACCTTACTGAGTATATTCATTCCATATGGTATAAAACATGAAAGAAAAAAAGAGATATGCAGAGCAATAGAAAGAAAATCTCGTTCTTGGAGGGAGCTGAATGAGCGATGAATCGAGGTATAGCTTATTGTGCGCTTAACCATTTCAATTCTTCAGTTGATTGTTAGACGTCGAGGAGAATTGAGCGCGAAAAAAAGAATGGAAAAAAAAAGTTTGTGAAGAAAGTAAAAAGTTGCAAAGCATAAAATTTCTTTTAATTCTTTGCGTTTTTACATGCTTGATTTATGTGGGAAATTATGCAATGAACGGATCTAATTTGTGATTTGTTTGGTGACAATGGCTATAAAACGGAATCAATAATTGCAATGTACATCCATCAAATGCAACAGAAACGCAAAGAAATGGATCGGAATTGTGATAAAAATTGAACTGGATCTTAAATCAGAACGAAGAAGAAATTTTTTATAGAAAAATAATTAAAAAAGAAAATGAAATTGTTGGCGTTCTTGCTGTTTTTTCTAAAGCTCACAACAGGTAATCATTTGAATGCTTCAATGGTGCTACATGGAAAAGTGAAACAAAATGAGTGATTAAAAAAATTTCTAAGAAGAAAATTGCTTGCATTGTTGTTGAGCGTGACAACTTTTCTTCATGTGCGAAATAATTTAAAGTTGAGATAATGTGAACTTTTGTAAAAGTGCGTCGTGAATCTTTAATTTTAAAAAAACCACTTTGAAATCAAAACTTTGACTACTGAACGAGATTTTAAGTAATATTGAAGCTTTGAAATTCCTCTATCAAAATTACACAATTTTTACAACATAAAAGCCCAAATCAAATAATTCTGAATGATTAAAATTGTAAAATAACCAAAATAACTACTAAATTTGTGAAATCAAGCAGAAATTTAATTTTATTTTTTTAAAATAAATTTCCTGGTTTCAAATTGTTACTTGAAAACGACAAGCATCTTAAAGCCAATTGAAATCTTATCTAAACTTAGCAAGACATCAGGTTCCCACAAAAAAACAATCCTTGATTTATTAAGAAAAGGTTGAGAACTGAAAATGATCTTTGTCAACTCGTGACTTGAAACTTAAAATTTATATGCCATCAGCTCCAGTGACATTTTGTACTTAAGAATATAAAAATATTCAATGACACCTAAAATTAATGATACTCTAATTTAGTTCTTTAAAAATGTGCCCAATTTTGGAAGTGTTTTGTTACGATTTGTTTAAACAATTTGACCGGATACTAAGATATTTGCGAGATTGTTTCGGAATATAGCGCATCGCTGCTCCCCAAAAAAAGGCGACAAAATCTTATCTTTCACAAATTGTTGACGTTTTGAAAGATATAAATGTAGTTTAAGGTTAATGTGTCTGTCCTTGAAATATGCAGTAGATTTGTCTTACGAAAAAAAAGTTAAAATAAAGGTATAAATAGTTTGTTCCTTTTAAAAATTAATCAAGTTTCATCTCAAAATTAAAGTATTGAAAATCTAGTTTAGAAACAATATAGACCTCCAGTTTAATGTATATAAACTTCAAACAATACTTTAATTTCCATAAAAAGAAAGAATTGATCCATAATCATATAATTAAATGACTTTTCTAATTGAAAATCATGCTGTAATGGAAAACTTTTCAATCTTTCAAATGCTTAACGAGCGTTTATCACGTGCTAGCTAGTAATATCTATAATTTATAAATTATGTGTGAATTTAGTGTAAAGAAGCATAACTTTTATGCAAATAAAGTACAGAAATAAGAGAACAAGCACAAAAGAGAAGGAAAATGCAGTGTGAAAATCTTAGAATTGAATTCAAATTTGAATTAGGGAAATGCAAAGCAGCTGATCGATCAAATTTCGGTTAAAGTGTGTTTGACATTGACGATTTATTTTAGCCTTTTTGTTCCTTTTTTAGGAAATTGTTCAGCTTGACAATTTTTCAAATTCTCTAAAAAGTCATATTTAATATGTTTCTGTCCTAAACAGCATTAAGTTATCATATAAACTTTAAATCAAGTTTTCTTCACTTCAATTCTAATTTCATAGCAGATTTTTGAATAACAATAATTTCAAATGGGAGAAGGAAGAGAAAGAAAAACTTTTTCTTGTGCTCATCAAAAAGCAACAAATCAAAGAAATAAAGAAAAATGCTTGTGCGTGAAAAACACGATTAAAAAATTGTGTTTAATTAATCTGTAAAACATACAAAAAGTAAAATTGATGAAGATCTAGTGATTAATTTTCATACTACAAATTGGTTTGATAGCAAAATTTTCTCATTATTCAAAAAATAAACTATGTTGTAAGAGTTATGCTACAAATCGTGAATTATGAAATCATTTAAAACAAACCTATCGATAGTAAATAATGAGATTTATAAAGAAATTAATGGATTGATTAGAAAAGTGCACTCGAGCCAAAACAATAAAATTTCACTAATGTTGTGCATTTATCTTTGAAGAACTCATTGGAATTAACTTTCGATTTCATTTTATGTGATTCATAAATTTTTTAGTATTGTTGTAACATTCGAAATGTGAAGGAATTTGAGGAAACCAGTAATTCTTAAGTCATGTTTTACAGATTATGTAATTAAGAATTAGATCAAGACTAAATGAAGTTTTATTTGAATATCAAATTTTAAATTTCTAATCTGCAAAATAAAATCTTAAAAAACTGCTTAAAACTTAGATTTTCCTTCATGCTTATTTAAAAATATTAATTCCCATGAAAAATTCTCATTCAAAAACTTTATCTCACCCGGTTAAAAATGAATTCAACGACACTGAATAGAAGTCATTAAACTGAAAATTATTTCATGAGACTCAACATGACCTACCGCAAGCAATCTTATGTTTGACACTATAGATGAGAATGTGGCTAATGAATGCATAAACTTGATAGCAACATGTGAAAATTCATTAATTATTGTGAATGGCTTGTGTAGGGCTATTTTAGTTATTAGATAATTTATTTTATATAAATCTGCAAAATTTCAAGCTTCAATATCCACGTTTTTGCTAATAAACTCGTAAAATAATCAGATTGGATTGGATTTAATACTTAATTCCTGTTTTAATTTGCCCTCACAGAATTAAATGCCTTGTTCTTTTCAAATGCTTTGCGCGATTTACCTCGTGGATTATTTAAATGTTTAATGTTCCGAAAGCCGTATGGCTGTCCACATGAAGACGTAAGATTCATTCTATATACACCGTAAGTATTGTTGCATTATCATTAACAATTTTTATTGCTTTCGAAATTCATGCGATGCTAGTGAAAGGAGTTTCTCGTCACTTACTGTTACATTACCTCAATTATACATTGCAAATGTATGTCAGCATGAAGTTCTAGACAAATAAATGATGATTTTTATCTCAGATCGTGCATTTTGCAGTGCTTGGTGAGAAAAACTAAAGATGAATAATATGGAAATTGATAATCAAGTTGCTATTAGAGTTTATATTATAATCATAAGGTTGAAGTCAATTGATGTGGATTGTTGGCTTTAGGCTTGCTAAAATGTCCGAAATTCAACAATTTTACAGCAAAATGAATTAGTGAATCTGTTCACAAAGAAAGTCATTCCAATTTTCGCAAAAAATTTCTTTAAACTATTATTTGCAATCTATTATTAATCTGTAATTGGTTTTTGATGACTTAAAGAGTCCGGAAATAAATCTAGAGAAGAAATTTTAATTCAACTCAAACATCACAAATCGATTTTAAATGATTCCGATCTAGTTTCGATCAAGTTCTTTGTGACGCTTCAATTGATTAAAAAGTGTCTGTATTTCCCGCTTTAAATTTTCGCTCGTTTTTTATCGAATGATCAATACTTCTAAAATCGGTAGTTCTTTTTTGTATGAAGCGAAGAAATAAGATTTGTATTCAAGTTCTTAAGAAATAGTTTTGAATAACCTATAAAGTTGTTTTTTATAGAGCTATCTATTCATTATTATAAAGAGCTATCGATATGACGAAGATTTGCCGAATGCAGCATACGAATTGCACAAAAAATTTCTCTCTGCGAAAATCAAATCAATAAATTAAAGGAAATCTCCACAGAAACATTACTTCATTGTAAATCTTATTTATTGAGCGATTCTTGTCCATTGAGTACTTCCTATCGTAAATATTTCACACAGTATAATATTTTCCCATTCATCATTTGTCTGACCTTGAAAGAAATTCAATGCTGTAAGTTTTCATTTTCCCGTCTTTTGTTTACTTCCACTTTCATGAAGCATCGTAGCTTGTAAATCTGCAAGTGCATTACGGTTACAAAAAAATATTATGGTAACGATTATTATCTTTTGTGTGCCTTTTCTCATTCATAAATCTTCAGTAAGTCTAAGCACGGTCGAATAATAGATGTTAGAAAGCCAAAGAGTTTTGTCAAAGGCGGTTTTAATCCAGAACATGAGACAGCCATAATTATTCACGGATTTAATGGAACACAAACGTCTCAACACATGATGTTCTTAAAAGACGGTAATTTGTTGCATTGTGGCATGAGAAAATTATGTAATTTTAATCTATTTACTTCTTCCTTCTTTTGGTTGTAGCTTATATTTCTAAGCAATACAATGTTATTGCAGGTAATTGTAATGCATTTTTCGACGTGAGAATGATTTTTAAATGAATCTATACAGTTTGTTTTTCAATATTATCTTTAAGAGTCTTTCCAAGATTTTTTTGCATTTTTTTAATCTTGTTACTTAAATAAAAACAAATTCTTATCATTCGTTTAAAGATCATTACTCCTCCGGAGTGTTTCTAAGTAGGTTCCATCTAAATTTAAATTCTATTGCTTTCACAGTTGACTGGGAGAAGCTGACAACATATCCATGTTATCTCTCTTCACTTTCAAATACGAAGCTTGTTGCACAATGCACGGCTCAGGTGAGAAACTCAAATATTCTGTAGCTAAATGCTGCAATAAAATTTATTAGGTGAGAGTGGATAGTGAACATGTAAAAAGATGGAAATTAAGAAATAAGAAAGTTTATGTTGTGGAAGAATTGGGAGTAATTGCGATGGTGATGATTATGGGATGCAATAAAATCTAATGAACTGAAGCATGGTGACATTAAAGTCAAATTAATGTCAAGAATTAGGAATTAAGATGTGACAATCCATTATTATGACACCATTATCGTAAATCTTCAGTTCCTCGTCACGATTTATTTGAAATTAACGATCAAATTAAATTCCATTATATGTGTGGACGACCTTGCAATTTTATTGCCAATTTTCAGCTAGTAGAAGTTCTATTATTTCCATTTCACATTCACGATAATGAACACCTTATTAGACATCAACAATACCGAAACTTTTGTGAATCGAACTGCAAATTCTTGACTGTAATTATTGCAAATTGCTCATTCACTGACGACATCAATTATTGAGCATATAATTTTAATTGGAAATGGTTGCACAATTATATTAAGAAATGGCAATAACGAATTTTCGTATGTCATTTAGAAACGAAATTTTCCGGATTAAAAAAATCAATGGAAATTAGAATTAAGACCGTTTTTTGTCTATTTAGCATTTTTTTCTGGCATTGCTAATGCTTTGGTTATTTAACCAATTATGTTTGAACTGTCAAGAGACATAAGAATGCTATAGCTCAACAATTTTGATTGACTTGAAACAAACATACATCATATCCAACAATAATTTCACCAATATATTCGTCAACAGCTTAGTTAATTTAATCAAGTCGACAGCTTTATGTTAATAGTTTTTATTACGCCATAATTAAATTTACACTTGAACTTGAACTCGGTGGAGTCAAAGAAGTATGAATCATTGATGGTTTTGAATTGTCGCGCATATGTTTTATGTGGTACTTTATATGATGTTGATGTTTACTCATGTTACAGCTAGATTTATAGCATTAGCATGCATTTGTGTAATTATAATTAATATTTACAAGGGGTGATTAGCTTAATGGGCTTAATTACTAGTTTATGATACACGGAAAAGTCAAAGGATTTATTAGGAGTATAAAATTTGATGACTTTAAAAGAGAATCCTAATTGTCGTCCTCAGACCTTTCTGTGGTCTTGTCTTGACTTTGCTTATCAAATAAAAGCCGTTCTAATTGTTCATTCAATTATTCTAATCTTCTTTGACTTAATTCGATTTAACTTATTGTCTTATCCTACAGCTTTATTCATATTTAACATTTGTTGGAAGTAAAATTGAAGGCATTACATGTGTGGGCCACTCACTAGGTAAGAAGTATATTGTTCAATAAAATCAAATAGTAACTGAACTGATATTTACTTCCAGGAGCTCACATTTGTGGTAAATATGCTTTAGCACCAATTTGCATCGCCAAACATCAAATGAACATGAATTAAACATTTGATCTGATGAAGTTAAGCTTCTTATGTTTGGTTGAATTACATGAACAATTAGATGTGCTGCTTAATTCCAATTATTTAAATATATTAATTAATATTCATGCTATTTTAGGTATGATGTCAAATCATCTAACACATAAGCAGCATAGAATTATTGGCCTTGATCCAGCAAGGGTAAGATTTATAGATTGATATTTGAATTAATAATTCCCACTTAATTTGTTGGTATACTTTTCTAGCCACTTGTCCAAAAACATGGATCAAAGACATTTAGGTTAACAAAAGATGATGCATATCATGTACAAACAGTTCTCACTAATGCTGGATTTCTTGGTGAGTCTATATCAACGGGAGACGTCACTTTTTGTGTCAACGGAGGTCGGGATCAGCCTTATTGTAATGGAAATCGAATAAGTGAGTTCTGATGTCTTTCAAAGCTGATTTTAATTATAAATATTATTTCCTCCAACTCAGAACGAGCACGATGTTCGCACTTTCTTGCCGTGTGCTATCTAGCAAATGCAATACTTCACAATAAGAAGTCTTTAAGTGTTCCATGTCCACGTGGTTGCGTCATGAACAATAGATTTCCATACGTCAACTATACACCAAATGATATAGAAATGAGATTGAAATACTTCCGATTAGGCCAAGATACCAAGTAAGAAGACAAAATCAACAAGTTCCTTGATTACATTTACATTTATGATTATTTTCTTTGTAGTGTTCAAGGAACATATTGTGTAAGAGTAGAGCATGCCAACAATTGTCCATTCCATTGATCTGAATCAGATTCTAAAATCTACATTTTAAGACGGTTTTAAAAAAACTGGTTCTTTAAATTCCTGTAAATTTACGCTGTAATTTTCTTCATATAAGTACGATTAATTTAATTTAATAAATGTAAATTATTAATTATTAAGATTAATGTATTTTTAATTGGAATCCAAGAAATTTCAGGCTATATGATGAATAATTCATCCTGGCTTCTGACACTCTCTTAGCTGGTCTTAAATTTAAGAATTAAAAAAATTGAGCTTTATGATTTCGAAACTCAGCAGCTGAAAGCTTAATTTTAAAAATGTTAAGCTTTAAGTTTCGAATATAAAATCAAACTTAAGCTTTGTTTCTTTAAGAACAAGTCATTAAACTGTTGTAAAAGTTGAAGAAACATTCGTTCATAATAATATAAGAACTTCCCGACTTATTCATCAGAGATCTTTGCTGATTAGAAGCCTTGATATCGGACTACAATCATTCAAAAATTCTAAAAGTCCTCAAAACAGAAATAAGATCTTGAAAGATCATCAGTTCCAATAAATTTTGCTACAATACCCACGTAACCAAAATCGCCGTCAATGAAAAAATCGACTTAAATGTACAATTTTTTGGATGATCCAATAGACGTCGATTTTTCATCCATTACATTCGTTTTTCTTGAGCCGCTATATACTTCACAAATGCAATCAGAAATCACTTATATAAGACACAGCCAAATTTTCATACAAAGTGTGATTAATTAATTAAATTAATTACATGCGAATCATTCATATAAATGAAGACTTCGACTCTTTTTTTCAAAGACAAAATCCTTAATTAATGTTTTTGGATTTTGTCTACAAATTATAGTATAATTAACAAAAAATATTTTCATGTAAAAAAAATTCAAAATTTTTCCGTTAATCGGTTTTTATATTGTAACGGTCAAAAAAAATTTGATTTTGGTTCAAAAAAATAATCGACGTGAAATCGACGTAAAATCGACTAAAAATCGTCCCTTTTCATATTAGCATAATGTCCAATGTACGATACATGGAATGTACATATGGAACATACATGGAAGATTTTGATGTAATACATAAAATCTTCCATTCGTCGACTTATGGTTACGTGGGTAGAATCCCTGACTTCCGTAAACAATCACAAAGGAAAATTAAATGTTGTTTTTGCAAATTATTGTTCATTTATTTTCCTCTATCCGAACTTATTTGATTGCAAACTTAATTAGAACCTGTTTATTGTGAACGAAAAACAAGCAGGCAGAATAAATTTTAATGTAGAAAAATCTATTCGAAAATAAAATGAAAATCTTTCTGAAAAAAAATCACATGTTATTTTAGAGAGCATCGCATGCCAAAAACGCAATTTCGAGAAAAAAGATTTTTTTTTTTTTTTTTAATTAAACTTTTTATTTATTTACATTTAAATTTAAGTATGTACAAAGTTTCTATACATTTTGTTGCTTTTTGTTTTAAGGTTTCAGGCATTCAATTTGCCTTTTGTCTCTTAATTTTGATTTCATTTACGGATTTTACTTTCTTTTGTATTTCATTTGATTTATTCGGTGTTTTGAGATGCAAGACGACTGTTGAAGTTCGCTTGCAACTTTCCGACGTAGTCTTCGATGGACGGTATTTTCGCTTCTGTATGAAGATCGGTGATCCTTTCATATCTTGTTTTATTGAGAACAATTCTCAAGAATTTGTTTTGCAGTACTTGAAGTTTTTGAAGATGGGTTTTTGCCATGCTTCCAAACGCTGGACAACCATATGTGAATATTGGTCTGATGGCTAGCTTGTAGATGAGAAGTTTGTTTCGTACGTCGAGTTGTGAGTTCCTGCTGATGAGCGGATAAAGCTGTCTTAATGCGGTGTGAGCTCTATTGGTCACATACTCCACATGCGGCTTTAATGTCACTCTCTTGTCGATCACCATTCCCAGATATTTAGCTTCTGTTTCCCATTTGATGTTTTCGTTGAGAAATTTGATGTTATTTCCTGGTAGTTGCCTGGAGTGCCTGTTTGTGATGAATAAGGCTTGAGTCTTCTGTTTGTTGAGGTTGATCTTCCATTTGTTCATGTATTGTTGAACTTTTCTTCCTGTGTGCTGTAGATGTGTCACAATATCGGCCGAGTTCTCTGCAGAATGATACAGTGCTGTATCATCTGCGAAAAGACCGATGTTGTTGGTTGTCTCTCTTACAACATCATACGTGAAGATGTTGTAGAGAGTTGGTGAAAGCACTGCTCCTTGTGGCACTCCGAATTTGATTACCTTGATTTCTGAGAACTGACCTTTAATAAAAACTGCGAAAGATCTTTCACTGAGGAAAGATCTTACAGTTTTTATAAGTGGCAGTGGAAATCTCAGTTTTAGCATTTTGTACAAGAGTCCGTTATGCCAGACTCTGTCAAATGCTTTTTCTACATCCAGGAAGATCATGCCTGTTGACTTTTTGTTGTTTAAGTTTTCTTTTGCTGATTTGATCACTTTGATGAGCTGGTGAGATGTTGATCTTCCAGTCCGGAAGCCACACTGCTGGTTTGGGATGATGTTGTTATCCTCAAGATGATCGTTGATTCTATTCAGTAATACTCTCTCCAGTATTTTGCTTATTGAGCTGAGTAGACTTATTGGCCTGTAGCTGCTTAGCTCATTTGCTGGTTTTCCAGGTTTTGGAATAGGAATCACTTTTGCATGTTTCCAAACTTTGGGGAAGTGGTTGAGTTTCAGACACGAATTGATGATGAATTTCAAGTATTCGAAACCTTTTTCAGGAAGATTTTTGATGAGTATGTTGTTGACTTCATCTAGTCCCGGAGCTTTTGGATTTTTCAGATTTCTTATGATGCTCACGATTTCGTTTACATCTGTTAGTTCTGGATTCTCATCATTGTCTTGTTCCAATGCTTCTTTGACTGTGTTGTTTACTTCCTGTGTATGTTGTGGATCGTTTTGTTCCAGAGGATTTTCGTGCACTTCACGAAAATACTCGCTGAGTGCGCTGGCTTTTTCTTTGTTGGTGATGAACGTTTTACCCAGATTTGTCAATGGAGGCATTGTTTTTGAACCTTTTTTGCAAAATTTTGCTATTCTCCAAACTGTTTGGTTTGACGGTTGAATCTCTGAGAGACGCTTATTCCAGTTTTTGTTTTTGAGTTCTTTAATTTTCTCATTGATGACTCTCTGCAGATAATTCAATTCAGATTTAAGTTGATTATCTCTGCTTCTCTGCCATCTTCGACGAAGACTCCTTTTTGTATTGATTAGATCTTTAATCTCCGGTGTGAGTTTAGTTGATTCGAACTTGATCTTTTTCATTTTTACACTTGAGTTCCTCGCTTCCATGATGAGTTCAGAGAGAATCTTAATGTGATTCTCGATCTCATCTGTTGTATTGCAAGAATTTTCTCCAATGTTGTCTTCAGTGCGGCGTGAAATTTGTGCTTTGAACTTTTTCCAGTTTGCGTTTTTGTAGTCATATCTGTAGACTGTATTTTCAGTTCTGTCGATTTTTGATGTTTTGATTTGGAAATACACAGCGCAGTGATCACTCATTGCCTCTGTGCATTGAAGTTCTGTTGTTTCGAGGTTGGAATTCGAGAGCATCAGGTCAATTGTTGACACTGATTTGTTTCGATCTTCTGGGTAGTACGTTGGCGAGTCAGGAAAGTAGATCATGAACTCTCCTGACATTTCCTGAAGAATATTTCCTGATTTATTTGCAACGTTGCAGTTCCATTCTCGATGTTTTGCATTGAAGTCTCCACAGATGTAGTAATTTCCTCTCAGATTTGTTATTTTGTTGATGTCATCTCTCAGATGTAGATCTATTTCCCCTCCTTTGCTTCCTCCTGGGAGATAGACTGAGAGGATGTGACAACTATCCGTGTCATTGATGAAGACTTTGATTCCAATGCATTCCATTAGTTTTGTGTTGTAGCTTGGTTGAAGCTGATGTTTTAGATTTCTTTTGACGATGATTGCAACACCACCCTTTGGTCTATCCACGCGATCCAATCGATGAATTACGTAGTCTGGATGCGAGTCAATTTTTGAGTTTGGTTTTAGGAATGTTTCTGAGATGCAAGCAACATCGACGTTTTGCTTGCTTAGGTAGTCGAGAAATGCTAACATTTTGTCAGTGAGGCCGTTAGCATTCCAGTAGAGGACGTTGATACTTTGTTGTCTACAATCCATTATTGTACGCGGTGTTTTTGGCACTTGAGCCGATTGCTTGGAGTATTTCGTCGATGAACTCTGGATTTTTGGCGATTAATTTGAGAAGCTCGCTGATAAGGTACTTGCACTTTGATTCCTCTATTTCTGAGATGTTTTTATCTCTTGTGCTGGTGCTTTGAGCTTGTTGATTAGTTGTTATGTTTCGATTCACTACCTCAACACTGAATGAAGGTTCTGGGAAGACTTCATTCGAGGTCTGACTTGTTGCACTGATGTCTTCTGAGTCCATAAGCTCAACATCTTGCTTTGGTTTTTGATGTTGATTGTTATTAATGCGCTCGTTTTGCTTTTTTCTTTGATTCTTTTTCCAATGTTTTCCTCTTTCTTTATTGTTTTGTTGGTTGATCAAGTTATTTTTATTTCCCTGATTTGAGGGTTTGTGATTTGGAGGAGGATTTGTGTTCCTTGGTTTGTGGTTGACTGGAACTTGTTTTTGATGAACAGGCTTTTGTGTACCAGATGTTGATGGTTCCATATACTCCTTTCTCCATTGAGGTTTTGCTGCATGTTGGACGTTTCTGGTTGATCTCTCAGGACGATGCGGTGTTGGAGGATTGTTTCTCCGTTGTCCATATGAATAATGGCCTGCTGTTTTGTTTTGATTTTGGTTGTTTCCATTCTGTGATTTTGATTTCCATTTTTCAATTATTTCTTGTCTGGTTTTACAACCTGTGAAAATTGCTGTATGTTTTTCACCGCAGAAGAAACATTTGAGTTTTCCGAGTGGAACCTTGTTGGTCTCTTTCGATATGTACTGGCACGTTTTCGAGTCATGTTGCTCAGAGCATCTGAAGCAAACGGACGGTTTGTTACAACCGTTTTGTCCATGACCAAACTGCAGACATTTCGAACATTGAGATGGTCCAGCTTGTCTATTTTTGTAGTCAGCCCATTTAATTTTGAAACTGCTGACAATTTTGATTTTTCTGAGGAATTCCAGGAAATTTCCACCTTGTTCTACATCTTTTTTGAAGTACACGAGGTAGTTCTGGTCGTCGTCTTGTTCGTGTCTTTTGTGTTTCATTGTCATTTTGACAATTTTTACTGGTGTGATTTTTACGGTTTGAAGTTCCTTCTCCAACTCACTGATTTCCATATCTGGGAGTCCATAGAGTACGTACTTCTTCAGTGGTTCTTGGCTGGAGTATGTGTGGAAGTGATGCTTTTTGTCTTTGAGTAGTTGGATGAATTTCTCGTAGTAATCCCAACTCTCCGTTGTTACCGTTTTTGTTCCTTGTTTGCCCTTTTTGGTCTCAATTAAGAAACTTCCAGGTTGACTGTTTATTTCATTCGTCAATCTCTTGATTTCACCAGCTCCTCCTGTGCTGATGACAATTGGAGGTGGTTTTGATTTTTGTTGAGATTTGTTGTTGTTGCTTTCCGTGTTTACGGAAATTGTCTTTTGTTGCTCTGATGTTTTGCTGTTTTCTCCCCAGTACGAAGAAGTTGTCGATCTTTTTTTCTCCTGTTCTGGTGAACCAAATAGATACGGTACTCCAGAAGACGAAGCTTTCTTCACTGGTGGGAGTACGAACAGTAATTTGTTCCCATCTTTTGGTTTGCTTTCGTTTGCTACTCTTTTTAAAAGAGCGTTGGGAACTATCACTTCTCGAGGGCGTTTTTCTGCTTTACTTGCTTCATTGAGAAACTTTTTTATTGATATTTGTTTTTTTGGTTTGAGATTTGTCATCTCAATGTCGGCTGCTTGTGAAACATCTTCACTGAAAATTTCCTCAATATTGAGAATTTTCACTGAAGATGAATGTTGTTGTTGAGAACTATTAAGTCCATGCTGTTTTTGAGAAATATTTTCTTCGTTGTTGGTAGTTTTTGGTGATGCTACCATTTTGATGTTTTGAGAATCAAACTGAGATTTTGAAACTTTTTGCAAACAAAAAGCTTCTCAGGTAGTCTCTGTTTTGTTTCTTTTGAGATTTTTGAATAATTTGCGGAGCGATTTGTAAACACGTCTGTTCAAGTTGAGATCTAGTTTGCAACTGTTCGAGAAAAAAGAAGTCAACGTCATATTTTGTTTTCCTGCCGCTACTTTCCTGCTTTCAGTCATTCTATATCGCGTATGTGTATATATTTATTATTAGTCATGCAAATGAGAAACAAACAGAAGAGAATATGCCTCCGCGTCAATAAATAAATATATAAATGAAGAAAATCACAATATTACATCTTCTCAGCCGCTCAAAATTTATAATTGTAACAAGAAGAGGCAGGCAGGCATCAACAAAGAGAACTGCTGAGTCAATGAATTTTAAAAACATTAAACACATTGGGGGGTCATTAGCTAGTGATGGCCGTGATAATTGGGAATTTTTATCATAAAATTTTCATTCGCATGGCTTTAAATCATCATCAAAAGTTTGGATGTCATGTTTGAATGACTCCACATTAATATTTTTCATTTACTTAATCATCGGAGTAATAAAGTTATTTAATTCCATCATTATATACGTTTGATTACAATGTCTTTATACACTCACATCAGGTTCAATGATAACAGCTACAAACATCATCTCCACGAAGCTATACTGATTAAAACTGCTTATTATTATGTCAATCACATTTCCTATCGTTTTTGTTGACCTCCTTTTTTTCGTATTATACAGTCTCGGCCAGAAGATAAGTAGTCATTGGGTCATTTTCGTATTTTTATTGTACGAAATTTTTATCTAGATTTGCGCAATGCATAGAATGCAACAGTTGATGTTAATGTCGCATCATGCTGCTGTTCGTTTTCATTTCTGTTGAGGTGATTGACCTAGAATAGAGATTATTAAATCTCAATGGGGTTATGTCTAAAAATAATTTGTGTAGCTGCTTGATTAGAATCTTCTTTTTGGTGAGTTTATGATTTTTCTTCAAAAAATCCGTTATTAATTTAGGAAGCAATTCATTCTCACCATTCTGCAAAAAAAGGCATTGCCTTAATGAGCTATTTTAGGAAGGAATTTTAAATTAATATTTTCTGCTTTATTTTGCACGACATTTCCATTTTTAAATATACATTATTCCTTGTCTTTTTTCAATTTCAACATTCAAATTTAGCTTTTATAGCTTACGCATGCATTAAATTTGTTTATCAATTGATTTATAAAATGGTAGTTGTTTGAACTATTGGAAAATTTAGCTTGAAATATTGAGTCATCCTCACTTCTTTTGCCTTAATTAAATCGTAAATAAAATAATTATTATTTTCAAAAAAATATTTATATTTTTTTTCCTCTCTGATCTCAGCTAATTCATGTTTACATATTTAGAAGTAGGAAAAGGGGGTGTGTGTGTGTCCAATATTTCAATTCATTATTCGTCAATGTTTATTTGCTTTAAATCAAATAATTTTTTTGATAAGAGACATTCTCAATAATAATAATAAATATTACTTTATCAGCTATAAGCTACTTCCTTTGGAACAACTTTTCTAGTACATCTAAGTCGGTAAAGGTTTTTTCTTTCATTCGATATTATGAAAAGTCCGTGAAAAATGTCTATCACTATTGCCAGTTCAAGGGCACGAACGAAAATTCTTCGCACTTAAATACATAAACAGAAAAATAAAGCACAAAAGAATAAACTACAAATTATAGGACAAAAAAATCTACATGGCGTGTTGTTAAAAATGTGACTGACCCGTCTCGCTTAATTTCACGCGAATTTTGACTCGTGTAAACAGATATGTGGTACAGAGAGTGCGGAGAGAAATGTTTACGTTACTTTTTGAAACAAAATTGTCTCGAAACATTAATTTTCGTGGCTCACAAAAGCGCATTTTCATGTTGAATAAAATTTGAACAGTACTAAGCTGAATAACGGTCGAAATAAATTAAAATTTTATGAATCAGTTAAGAAGGGTTGGAACTACGATCAATGACAAAATTCAAATTTTTGAAGTACGTTATTTCTAAAATACCCAAAAATGAAATATTTTATGAGAAAATGCGCAAATGCCACTAAAAACTTCTTAATAATCTTATAGATCCAAACGACATTCTATACATTTAAAGCGCCTAATTGACAATTCCAAAAATCACATTTAGTAATTCATAATTTTTTTTTTTTAAATAAAATGGTGTGTCTATCCACACTCTCTGGCAATAAAGTATAAACACATATTCGTATTTTCATTCTGAAGTGTTCGCGCCTTTACCAAAATTATAATAATAACGCCATAAAAGAGAACTTAAAAGGCGAGACAAAAGAATTAAAATAATCATAAGTACATATAAATTCACATATTTTGTTATTTAGGGATATCTTCAGAATCCAATATCTCAAAATCACTATCATCGTCTTCGTACACTTTTGTTTGACTAGATTTCGGTATATTTAAGCTTGTTATATTCTCTATGAGATTTCGGGCGATGGTTTGTTGAATGTTTAAGAGCAAACTATGCGCTGATGATGAGGGTGATGTGTGTGGTTCAATTGTTGCGGTAACTGGAATATTCTTAAAATCTAATCCACGCGTGATGCTATCATCACTATCACTGCTTTCTGACGATGTATTTGAAAAATGCTTTCTCTTATATTCTGCACTTTGAGTCAGCACCAAGTTTGGATCAATTAGTAAATCTTCACTCTCAATTAAATCAATTTCATCCGGTTCAGGAATTATTGCATTTTTTGGCAATAATTCATTGTCGCTATCACTTTCGATTTCTTCATTATTATTATTGTTATTACTATTATTTAAAGTTGGTACAGAAAATATCGATGAATCGTCAGCATGATCACCAATTTGCTTAAGAATCATGAAATTTGCCTCATCCATTTGTGGACAAAATTCATCAACGTCAACTCCGCTGCTGGGTGTTGATTCGATAGATGCATCTGTCATTCATTATTCAAGACAAAGCAAAAGATAAATATTATTATAATTAATTAATATTCATTGAGTGTTTGAAGACTTTGCACATTTTGCCCATACATTTCAAAGAGACTGATTTAAAAGTAAAAGTATCACATGTCTTTAAGCCGATAATATAAAGGGTTTGGTCGATAAGTGAGTTCCAAAAATTTTAAATGGTTCAACTAAGCTATAAATATAAATATCAGTAGATCAACATTATAAATTTTTAATCAGGCTAATAAAGTCTCTTTTAAAGTATTTAGAAAAAAATACAGCTATAGACACACAAGAGACAAATGGCAAAGCCAATAAATTCTTTGTGTGTGATGTAGACCAATACGGATATGTGCATGACCTTCCTTTTGAAGACAGAAACATATGTTCGGCAATAAGCATATTCTAAACTCGATTTAGTAAATGACATTTGAAACCGGTACGTACAGAAAACGAGTTATACTTTTAGAATATATCAGCTTATTCATGACGTCATGTGAGACACACATTTTTTGTTACGTCTTGTTTTGTTTTGCAAAGGAGGCAAGTCTTTGACACACTTTCTGATCACATTTTACGCGTCTTACCATTCTCCTTGATTATTTTGATTTCGTATTTTGAAGTTAAAAATACGCCCGCGATAAGACAAGCTAGAGTGACAAATAAAAAAAAATAAGGAAATTGGGATAAAGCTAGATCAAGTATTTTTAATAGAACAGCTTTTTGTGTTGCGGTTGATGAAATAAGCATTTATCACATGAATTCTAGAACGCATTTATTACTTGAATTTAATCAAAATTTGACGGTTTCTAAAAATTCAAATTTCAAAACCATACAAATTCTATAGAAAGTTTAAATCATTTGTATGGTTCTCGAACATTTGAAATTGAAACGGTCAGTCAAAGTGAATAATTGTATTGTACTATAGAAAAATGCTTTCAAAAATGACATGTTGCATGCAAGTTACTAATGGAAATGAAAATATTTCAATATATTTACCTAACAATATGTAGGTTCCATTGCAAACTTGTCCAATGACAGCGAGTAAAAACAAAATAGATGTTATGAATCCACAAAACACATTTGGTCTCTTCTCACGTAATTCTTTAAAGTTTTCATAAATAGTTTTACATTTTAATGTAAGTTCTTTGGGAATTTGAATATGGTAACTAGAGTAAAATGTACGATAGATCCAGGTGACATAAATTGATGATACCAATATGGCAATAGGTCGGAACTTTAGGCTGTTTTAAAGGAATAGAAAAAAGAGAATAGAGAAACGCAATTAATAAGCAAAAAAGAAACAATAACATATGTGAATAATTTTAACTAGAATTTCCTTTCATCGCATATCAACGACTTTGTAAAATACGTTTTAAAAACAACAGCCTATAAAATCGCTAGATTCTTCTTTGAGAGAAGAGAAAATACAATAAAAACAGCTAAAAAGGTTTACGACTCGATTCATTCATCGAAATGTGACGATATGCGAAGGAAAAAATTGTGATATGGATGAGTTGAGGCGCAATTAGATACAAAGTATATGATGATTTTATTTTTTTTGGTACTCACTATGATATTAATCCAGTTAATACGACTGCCGAGCCTAATTTGATGCCTGTTTGCCGATTTAAAAGGATACTTTTGATTTCGTCACACTGCATTTTGCATATATATCATTTAGAATGAATCACTGCTCAAATATTTTCACTTTCTGTGTACTCTTTATGTACATAAAATAAATATAATTAGACTGCAACTTCTCGTTTCACTGTCTCTCTTGCCTTGCTATCGTAAACGATTTAAAGAAAAAAATATATATAAACTTAGATTATTATGAAGACGATCACGTTTCTAAAAATGAATTTATCGCACTATTTGCTAATGTTCTTTAAATTCTGATTTCTGTTTATAATACTAGCGTCTTGGGCAATTTTAAGCTGTATAAGAAATAAATATTTTCATCGCGTTTCTGATGATAAAAACGAATATGACACATGCGCGCCATGAAAACCTTATTTTCGCTATAGCTTTTCTGTTTCATTTGAAATAAAAATGCTAGTGTTCTAATCTATCACTTATTGGACATAGCTTAAATCAGCTGGAAAATCAAGTTCGCAAAAAGATCTAGGATGAAATTTTATAATTATTTAAAAAATCTCTATTTATCCACCAAAACAATTTAATTGCACTAATAATATAAGGATTATACATATAAATAAAGCTTAATATAAAGTCACGATACGATTTGTTTTAAAAATAGCTAATCAATTTTTATGCAGAAATCTCTTTTTTGCACGAATTTTGTTTATTTCTCAAGGTCGTCTTTTATATTCCACGATAAATGTTTATTAAATAAATTAGGAGGAGCACAAAGGAAAATGATATGATAATTTTCGATATTTACACTTGCTTAATGCTTGCTGAAAGTACTATAATTAACTGGTCTTATTTTCTTCAAAACATTCTCAATAAACTGTCTCAAAATAAAACTTTGTCGTAGTTTCAAACCTGCATCACAATAGTTTTGAATTTTAAAAATCCGTTTATTTCAGTTGAATTATTAACTTCAATGAACAAAGAGTTTTTTTGATTTTCTTAAATTTCGTGAATTATACTAAGTGATTTTGTTTTTTAAGATGCACGATCAAAAGTTCCAGCGAACACGACAGCTATTTAATCCAATATTATGTAAGTGGCTTCTTATTAAGAGCGAATTTTTTAAAAACATTAATTTTATATTCACACCGCGTGCGTGTTCCAACATACAGCACCTTTCGATCTACCCTCGATTGATGAATCGCTGTATTTTCCAAAAGTAAAAGAATCAGATAACGATTCTATAATTTTGTATACAAACTTGCTGAATTCATTGTATCGAAAGAATACACAATTAAATCCCTCAAACTTCGAAGGGTTCACACTGAATGAGCTAGTCACAAAAGTTATATCCATCATAAGGAATATGATGTGTTCACAAAGTGAATTTCAGGCATTTCGAATTAAAGAAATACTGCAAGTTGGTAGCTTCAAGAATGGGACAATGAGAAGTGGTAAGAATGTTGCTGACATTTTGATATTAGTGGATCGAATTCCATCGCTAATGCTTATTCAAGAAATGTCTGTTCGAATCCATGCACTACTGAATGACATGCAGAGTATTCAAATCGTCCCAAAATGTGAATATTTGAGCATAGAAATGACTCAGAAGGGATTTGACATCTACAACGACAGCGCTCGTGTATCAGTCTTGATTGGCACATATCCTCAAAATGTTGACAAAATATTGGATGAAAAGTTAAGAATAGCAGTTAAGCATAATATAGCTGCTATTCACCATTCAAAGTTCCTGGAAGAAAATTCAAATCCATTTGCAAAAATCTTGTCACGAGTCTTGAAATTTATCGTAGAACGAAATGTGAAACTATCTGCTATTAATCCGTGGATGGTTGATGCATTAGCATGTTATTCAATATTTTCAAACTACTTGAATCAGCCATTAAGTTTAAATCAAGCTTTTTTAAGAGCTTTTCAATTGCTATCAGCTGGAATCTTCACCATTTCGTTCGGTGTACCTGATCCTTGTAAAAACTTCCAGTTAAGCATCAATCAGCATTTATTGGCTACAGAAGAAATGGATATAATTGAAGCAGCACAAGCTATTTTGAACAAAATTTTAGCTGGAAAGGTTGACGAAGTTTTGGAGCTTAATGAATAATTAAAACAACTTAATTTGAAAGCAAAAACCTCATGGATCTCTTATAACTCATCTTTCCGATTACAAATAGTCGATAGGTTACATTCTTTAATTTTGTTCTCATAAAATCCTCTAAATTCATGGTAACTGCACATACCAAATTCATTAACTTTACAATTTGGTATCTCAACGACATTTTCTTGATGTAAAAATTGGATATGTGGACCATACTTATTAGACCTGAAATAATAAAAATATGTGATAATTAAAAATAATATTTCAAGGCATTAAACGAATAACTTACTCATACAAAACAACGACAATATTAGAAGCAAACGAATCAATGTATGACGTTCGCCACAACCGTTGATAATTCAATTTATCAGCAGTCAACTGAAAGTCATCCTTATAAAGCTCCAAAAATGTCAATAATTTTAAAATCGTTCCTGAATGTGTAAAATAAAATGATAAACTTTGCTTGCCATTTGAGGGGTCAAGTTGATTAAGCATATCATCTACAGTCCGGCACGCAATTTTTCTAGTGATTTCAAAACCTGGACCATCAACCCAATAATATTCCATATCTTCAAGATATTCCATTATGCCAATATGCTGTTCATTTTTAAACAGTGAGCACCAAATTGATTTTCCGTTATGCGGCAAATGTCGCCATGCTGTCTCGAAACCACAAACGTTATAAATAAGTTCAATGTCTGCAAAGTCTAGATCTTTAATTTGTGTCATTTCTCTCATCTCATTTATTAGGTTGTCGACAGTTACCGACTCAATAAGTGATATCTTTTCTTTTAATGTTGCTGGATTCTTTTTGACTGTTTTCCTCCATAATGGACATCCTTTATATGGTCGTAGAATTATATCATCTCTAGCTACTTCGACAATTTTATGATTATTGGCAGTGGATTGGAAAAGTCCTTCAACAAACTTTCGTGCTGAGATATTTGTTCTTTGGGTTGGTGTGTGCTTAATTGTAATATTAGCTTGATCTTCTTTAAAATTGTTCATAAATTGACTTCTAAATCTAGTTCCGAGATTGTAAAGTTCCTCTTCACCTTCTTTTGTGAGGAATTTCTGATGGTTAAGGTCTATTGTCAATGGTTTCCATTTCTCAAAGGCACTTTTTTCATCACTTGTCAAAAAACTCGCATCCTTTAAAGTGTCAATGTGATCGATCAATCCTATATATTTAGAAATTGTCTTTTTCCCAGGAAATCGAGTGCCGTGTCTTTTACCAAAAGTTAATTAAACTTTATTTAATGAATTTAAAAATAATTTTCTTACCTGTAAATCGCCCATATTTTCTTGGGCGTAAAGTCATTGTAATTAAGATTATTCAGTTCCTTAAAATAGTAAGGATTCTTTGTTGAGAATCTTAAAGATGATCTCATATTGAAATTTATATTGTCATTGATAACGAAAGGAACTAAAGCACAGAAAAAGACAAACACAGATTTTTTTATCACTAACATTACTGCGAAGATGATTTTCTTATATCTTAGTCGAACTTATAGTTACAGCTGCCAAATACATACTAATTTTGTTTATGCTGCATGTGACTGACTGGCACCAATTTTGCAATGTTTCAAAAAACTCTGACGTTATAAAAAATAAGTCAATTTAATTATCTATTTCAAAGGCAAACGTTTTATTTTATTTTGTGCATATAAAAATCATTAAGCATATCAAGCAGGTATGGCAAATTACAATAAGTCATAAAAGAAATCGAGTCCTTGTCCTATCTCCCAAATTGATAGTCCAGTTCCAAGTTCTCTAGCTAGATCGATTCTCAGTTGAACTGAATATAATGTTGGGTAGAACACAAAGTGCTTGCCTGTTGGTGTCTTGACTTCAAAATAATGTTCCTGGTCCTTTTCATCAAGTTTCAGCTTTCCTTTATAGAATTTTAATAAAGTCAGATATGTATTGCCGATTACAGCTTCACCTCCGTTTGGTGTAAAATCATAGCCGTAGAAGTTTAAGCCTAATAAAATTTTAGCTCGTTTATCTTTGTCAGCACTTGGACAAATGTGATGTACAGCATTTTTCATCCAATAAATTGGAGAATTAGCACCAGGACGTTGATACGTTGAGAAATCATAAGTCATAAGTGAGAAGTAACTGACATCTTCCCATAATTGATCAAAATGTTGTGCATTAAATAAATCTGGTGCTCGAGATGGAGGCACAACAAGAATTAACTCTAAATTTGCTTGTTTCATTAACTTTGCTATGCTTTTGACTAGATTAACTAAATGATGGTCATCGACTCGTTGTGACAGTTGACTCCAAACTTCAAGAACAACTCCTTCAAATTTATATTTCCAGCATGTATCAATAATTAATTTACTAACGACATTAATCTCTTCTTGATATGTCAGCAATTTTGAAAAGTCTCTGTCTGTAAACTGTTCAAAGAGGATTCGTGGAATCACTTTTTGGACACCGGCTTTTCGGGTATCTTTCATCCAATTTTCATCGATATCGTGAGTTCCGGCAACTTCATATTTAAGATCTTGCTTCCTTATAATCTGAAGCCAAACAGGTGAAATAATGTTCAGCTTTCGTCCGAATATTTTAGCCACATCATAGCCATGAGAGTTCCACTGAAATTATTGATTTTTATAGGAAAACTTTTCATTGAAATAATAGGTAGCAATTACCGGAGTTAAATATCCTAGAACTGTACCGTTAAAATTCTTCAAGCTAGTATCTCTATAGTAAGTATTAGCCTCTTGTATGATACTCAAAGAGTGAGGCTCTACGTCAACCAATCCTCTTTCAAAGACGTCAAGATTAACAGGACCTGAATTTGTTTTAATATCCGGTGGATTTTTCTTTGACTTTTTATTATTAGGATTTAATGTGGAATGGACACATGTAGCTAATAAAGGAATTAATAGAACTACACCTAATTGATACTTCATGGTGATTCAGTCTCAAAAATTTTATTTGCTAAAAAGTCAATTGACTTTTTTTTATTGCTGTTGTGTACTATACAAAAGTGAAAAATCGATTGGGAATGGAACTAGATGAAAATAATGAAAAGTCGACATCCGAATGAGTAGCTTGTAGAGCTTCGTCCTTTTGTTTTGGTTTAACAACTTGTTGATATTTTCCTGAAAATTCATTAATTATGGCATCAAAGTCTTAGTTTTACCAATTTGGTATTTGTAATTTTATTGGATCTTAAATACAAGTTTACTTAGCAAATGAATCAATTCGAGCTACATTTATGGATTTACATTAAAATTTTCGTAAAAAAGAAGATCATAAAATTCCAATTAGATTTTTGTGCTTAATATAAGAGAAGAATTAATTAGAATCATAAAATGGCAATTATTGCTTCACAATACAATTGCTTGAAAGTTAGAATCGAGCAGAGTTAGTTTAACTCTCAAGCTTATCTTGATACACTGCATATTTGCTGTTCCAGTCTCTCTCAAAAATTGATTCCAATTGGCTTCGAATGGTTGTCACATTGTCGTTTCTATCATGAACTGTATCTTGTGCAATAAATCCGATTCCAGCTGTGTTTGTAAAATAATCTCCAGACCAATTGCTTGTACCGATATAAGCAACTTGATCTGTGACCATATACTTGTTGTGATTCACCCTACCGAATGGAATTTTCGCTTGCTCTTCTGTTGCTGGAACGATGAAGCGTTTCTGAGAAAAGATTTGAAATTTTAAGGAATATCCAAAAACAAATAATATTAATGTCTATATCTTACCACTTGAATATCAACTCCTTTATAAGATTCACTAAGCATAGTCAATGATTTTAGGAAATAGTCTTCAGAAGGTCTCGAATGATTCCAGTAAGATATCAACAGCTTGATTGACACTCGATTGTTAATCGCTGCAGTTCTCAACGCTGTGTCAATGTCATGCCAGTAGCTATAGATTTACGAATTTTAATAAAAATTAAAATTATCAAACTTAAAATCAATTAACTTACGTAATTTTAGCCGAATAAAGTTGTAATGGAAAATAGTCCATAACAGAGATGTGGATGAAGCGTTCTGCATTTTGGATTGTGGTAACAATTGCATCCAGGTCATTCGTTCTACCACGAGCATTTAGTGGAGGTGGTGAACCAGAGAAGAAGGTACTAAATAAATAATTGTCGTTGTAGTTGACAAGCATAGGCTTATCAATATTAATTGGAGTATTAAGTCTATCAGGCCATCTTGGTGGAATCGTAGAGTCATTCCTTCCCAATTCCCAGTAAATATTGAAAATTTTCGTAACGTCTTTTGCAAGACATGAGCAATTCGTAACAAGCACACCAAGCTCCTTGACTTGAGAGAGCGATCTCCAGTCCATATTGGCACTTCCGATATAAAAATGCTTTTCATCACTAATCCAAAGCTTCGTGTGCAAGACTCCGCCACCTAGCAACTTTGAGAAATTTACTGATCGCACTTTTGCAGCCTTTCGTCTTTGCAATATTTCCGTGTCTATATTTGGACTAACTTGCGATGGCATATTTTGCGCAATGCGAATATCAATTTTGCGCTCCGTACCCGCATGCAGGAGTGAATGGAATATTTTATCACCATAAATTGACGATGAATGATTATAAACTTCATCGCTTTTCAATGTCCAATAAAAGGAACCAATGTTAAGACTCTCGGTTGTCTCATTAATTAAAATATTCCATGCATCAAATGTTGACATAAATGATGGACTGTATGGATCATAAACAAGTCCTTCGGGAATCGACTCCACAAGTTGAATGCTAAAAATAGATTTAAACAGCATAAAATTTTCAATGTTAGTTGTGTACTGTGTGATAATGGTAATTTTGTAGCTGCTGAACATGCGATAAAGAAAGCATTAAATTCAACTGCGACTATAAGTGACCATCTGTTCGTGACCATCACGCGATGCCTATACTAATTATTTTATGCATAATGTAAATTGCGTAACAGCATGGAGAAAAAATTTAAGACAATCGAAATTCTTACCTGCACGAGTCTTGGCAATTCCATCCAACAAGTGTACCATTTCGTCCAACAAGCTTGTCATTGTGCGAGTCGAGAAGTGGAAGAATTACGACAAGAACGATGAGAGTTAAAATGAAGAAGATTGGTATACAGGAAGGTTTACAGACGACACCATTGCTATTCCACTTATATCGCTGCTGATTCTTCAACATTTGTGAATAGTCCCACAATTCAAAATCATCATCACCAACAGGAGCTTGTGTTGGATCACGGTTGTTAGACTCAAGTACCGTCTGCAAAGAGACCAAAGCAGGAAATTTTTTAATTTTGTCCAACATGTCTGAATCACAAGGTATAACTTAAGGAAAACTTTAATTTCTATTGCATATAGCAACGATCTTTTTCGGTTGACTGAATGAATGTGAAGGAGAAATGAATGCAATTTTGGCGCAATGTAGGCTGTACTGTGTTATATGCTATGTTAAAAACAAATCGATACAAGGCACTTTAAGCATGTTGCGGTAAAAGAAACAATTGCACTCATTTGAGTATTTTACATTAATTAAATTGGATTGCAAATATTGATTGAAACTGTTCAGGAACTCATGCTTTCTAAAACGTCTTGTACGTTCGCTTAATCCTTTCTCCTAGATACCAAAAACGAATCACTTTTTATAAGCATTCATTTATTTTAAACTTTTTTTCTTTCCTTCTCATTTGAAATGTGAGCCTAATGAATTAATCGCCTTTGAACTTGTCAAATTAATGTCTTGAAATGTGTTGAAATCATCGATTGAATTACAGCAACATGAATTCAAGTATTTCAATTGCTTTGTATTACATAACAGGATAATAACCTTTTGATGAGTAAGTTGAGATCATTTAAACTTGACATCTTGTAAATTAAGAATTGTTTTTATTAAATTATTAAGGATGCTTTCGAGGACTTGCTATTTGAAGACTACATAGTTTTTTTGGGTAATGTTGAGTACTTAATTTATTCTTAATGTTTTATTTTAAAATAAAGGGAGCATTAGATCTCAAAATTTAGAAGTTCCTTTGAGTAGGATTGTAAACACAAATGACCTTCAAGATTTTATTTCCTCAAAATAAAAGAAAAGCAGATTCAAGCTTTACTGTATAAAATAAGAAATTACTGATCAATCGGTCCAAGACAATAAATGCTTTGAAGTACGTTTTAGATTTTACAAATGAATCTATAGCAGTTCAGAACTATGCTGCTTCAAATCTGAGCCAGAAATATGTTCTATGTATTTACTTGTAATTTTTCACCTGCTCTTTCTATTTCTTTGGAAAAAATTCATACGTTTTGTGTTTAGGTTGAATATTGTTTAGCCCAGCATATAATCCAAACAAAACGAATTTTCATTTTGTAAAGAATGAGTAATACTTGAATTAACCAAGTAAAAAATTGCTTTAAATGCCGTAAATTTACACATAAAAAAAGTAGATTCTTATAAAAAATCTCTTTCAACGTACTTTATGCCAGATTTTAATTAAGATTTGTTTAAAATTAGCAATTTAAATTCCAACTTACAAGTTTTTTGAGATCATTTTCACCCAACTCATTTGAAGCATAAATTTTCATGACTTTCTGTCAATATTCCCAAAACTAAACTAAACTACGTTGACAAAACGAAAATTCTAATTTAAAATAATCTTTTGTTATGAACCATCAGCTGATAATGACATAGACTTGATAATATGCGGGTTACAACACAACTGAAGAACTACTTTCGTATGTATATTTAGCACAAGACTATCTCCTATTTCTGTTTTTTTTTTCGCAACACACAAATTTAATTTTATTGTGTATTGGAATTTACTTGTTGTTGTACTGTATGTGTAAGTGCAACACACAAAATAATGGGCAGAAATGTAAATTTTTGCAAACACAAAAAAATCTCTTGTTTGTGATCCTTTTATTCGGTTCTGTTGCTTGCAGGTAACTAAAATGTAATTTCATATTTTAGGGGCAGTAAATAACAAGACTAAAACATGTTGACTCTTTTCAGGCATAAAATGTTGGTAAAGCAGAAGCAAATTTTTTTTCTTTTGTTTGTTAATTTTACATGCTATGCGTCCCATGTTGATGATTCCTTCCCACCATGAAAATTATGAAAGGGGGCCTCGATTTAAATAAATGCATTGATGCAGGAAAACCTCTGAATTGTTTACTTCTTGCATGCTACAGTTCCGTTACAGAAAAACATGAAAATTTATTTAAAACTGAATAATTGATTTTTTTAATAGCAACAATTTAATACGAAGACCCCCCATTTTTCATGGAATGTTCGAGCATGTTTGAGTAATATTTGAACAAAAGACATACTGTCTATGTGAATTTTTGATTTATAAGCCCTTACTATGCATGCTTTTGATGAATATTTGAGATAATTTTCGCTTAGAAGTTCCTTATATAAAACAGGATGTAGCATGGATTTATGGAATAATGAAATACGATGAGACAAAGTATAATTGCTGCTTCTCTATTTTCTTTCATCGCTTCTGCTTTAGTTTCAAAGACGAGTGAAACTTTTTAATAAATATTTAATGAAGTTTTTGTAAGCGAGCTGCCATGAGATTATTGTTATCTGTAGAGCATGAAATTTATTAACAGCTTGTAAAATACGTATAGTATATAAATTATACATTATACAGATGATATGGAATGGCAACTGACTCAATGAATGTAATGACAACCACTTAAATTACTTAATCGTCAGCAGAATCTTCTGTTTATTTCCAATTTTTTGAGGAATATAGCAAATAATGCTTTAAAGTCCAGTTCAGGTACTTTATAAGTTGGTGTTTAAAAATTTCAATGTAAATGGACTTTATTTATTTAAGAGCAGAATCATTATTGTAGAACTGGTCTATCTTCTCATTTTAAGTAGAATTTTGAATGCTCTTTGTCAATATGCTTTCAATGATTTCAGAAAAGTTACAATTGGAACTAAAGTACTTTGAGAATCATACAAATTACTGTTAGGGGCTGTTCACTTATTACGTAACGCGAAAAAATGACTTCTTAGACCCCTCCCCCCCCTCGTAACAAAATTTGTATGAAAAAAAAATTTCCTTGTTTGAATCGTAACAAAATCTTAGACCCCCCCTCCCCCTAAAAGCGTTACGTAATAATTGAATGGCCCCTTATGAAAATACAGTATTTCCCCTTAAAAACGATACTTCAAACTCAGTTTTGTTTCCTTTAATTATTTAAAATTTAATCTACTCCACTTTTCATAAGATTTCCCACAGTTTTTGGTCTCATTCTAAATTTTTCAATTATTTCAATTTCCTTTACAATAATTGTGATGATTCTTTAAATTATTCATACTGTTGAAAGATTGCTGACTGACATGCTTGCTAGCTTATCATTTTGTCATTCAATCTTGCAAATGTAATAATGTCTCATGATAGTATCCAAAAAGAAGATTCATTTCCTTAAAGCAGGATTGTAAAATATTTAGAGCAATGGGACTTTTGTTATTTTTAGATTGACATTAATAATAAATTATGCTCTCTGATTCAGTATTTAAATCTCAAAAAAAATTGTTTATGTTTTAAAAGTTTTGAAATGTGGTTTACATCGTCTTTACGAAAAGTTTCAGACCGAAAAATTCATATCAAGATTGCAGATTTGAATAAAATATTCGTCCTGAGTTTATAAAGATTTTACCTTTAATTCAGTACAGTAAACAAAGATAAATACTTGAGTTAAAGTTAAAAACAAATTACAGATGGATAAAGGGGAATGTTTGTGAATGACGTCAATCAAAAAATATATTTTGAATAATTTTAATCTCGCCTTTATCTTAAAAATTCTAGAAGTCACAAAACTGGACGTCACTTGCTCTTGAATCCTTAAATAAAAGGATGGAAATGAATTGAAAACGAAAACAAGAACAAGAAGTCAAAAAGAAGACAGACCCTCATCTTTTCAAATTGTTCAAATCTGAGCCTTTTATAATTGAAAAGCTTATTGAAATTCCTAAAAGCTCTCATTTTTGAAAACACAATATTTTCTAATTTGAATTAAATTTTCATTTGTCTAATGTAAAGTTCACACGAATGTACATGCTTTAATTTTCCAATCACTCACGTTCCAACAAAAGTACATCAATAACGTTCTCAATCAAATGAAAAACAAAAACAAACCATTGCACTTGAATTGCAAATAACTTATGTAGAATTTTATTCCTTTCAATTTCTTCATCACGCAAGAGTTTGTGCTTGGAAAGTAAATAAATTTCACTTTATTCACATGTTGCTTACGCGTGAGTTGGTTCTAGTCTATTGTTGTTTATTTATTTAATGTATAGCAATGCACTATAATTTAACCTATTTACCCATTAGACAAGTAAATTCCATTAAACTTAACCCATTTCATGTCATTTAACGCAGCTGTTCTCAATGTTTTTTGAGCTTTTGAACTTTTTTGAATATTATGGTTTTAGACATTGAATGATACAATTGTATGGATCAGGGATATTTTTGAAGGTTAATTGCTTAAGATTGAACTTATAATTAATATATAAAGCTTAAGTCGTATTGAAGCTCTTATTTATTTTCAGTGACACAAAACTTGAGAAGCACTGATGAACTTGGCACACGCGGACTAAAATTGACTTGATTAATATAAGCAATTCAACTTTAATTCCGCAGTATACCCTAATAATTTACAAATTTATTTTATCGATCCAAATCTTTAATCCCTAAGTTATTATTCATTTAAACAAAATCATTAGTCAAAATATTTTTCATACCTCGGTATTTCCTTCTACTTTCAATGCCACAACTTTTCTTTCTTTTCATTCACCAAAAAAATAATAATTCAATGGAAGTAAAAAACATCCGTCTTTTCTCAACAAAACTTTATCAATGACTGAAAAGATTAGTTTTTTTTTTCATTTTGCTGCTGTTCGTTGAAAAAAAAAGAAAGGAAAAAGTCAGATTTTCATCTCTCTGAGTGATTCTTTTTTTGAGAGAATTAAATGATGAGAAAATAACAATCGAGCAATTGAATAATTCCATGAAAAATTAATTTTAATCCTTTCTAAACAGCATTTATGGAAAAATTAATGATTTTGTCTCGATTGAGTTCTAATGATGTGAGATATTTTTGTCGGGGTGAAATTTGGTTAAGTTGAATTCAAATTTCACCAATTTTAAAACAATGTTTCTTAGTTTTCACAAAATTTGTAATAATTTCATATATGAATATCCTAAAGCTGATCCAAAAACGTATATTAGTTTTCAAAAATTAACAATTCATGAAATATTGTATGAAAACAATGGAGGTCATGAAGTTCATGATGTATGCAGTTGGTCAGATTTAATTGTATTCAGAATGTCTGTTTCTGAACTTTTAAATTCATTTTATTTGAAACAAATGTGCAGGAAAAAAAAAAAAAAAAAAAGGCTGTAAAAATCAATTAAAATTGTTCTGCTGCTAATATTTTTGGGGTATAGTTAATGCTTAATTGATCATTTGGGAATAAGTTCCAATTTTAGCGTATTCGTGAAATCACTAATCCCGTCTGAGCCTTTGAATTTTAATTGTCATTCATTTTAATAAATTAGATACAAAGTGATACTTTTGCATCACTAGAAAATGTTGTCGCTGAGTCATTGTTAACATTAAGCTTTTGCTGGGTCATGAATTTTGTAGTCGATAATCGTTATATGATCCTTTAAACAACAAGAAATACTCAGCTCAGATTTAGATTTTTGTGGATTAGGAAGTATTAAAAATGCTCTCAATCATCGTTCTCATAGCTTAACTGGTACCTATATGTTTGAATGCTTAAAGCTTTACGGGTTGGCTGTGGTATGCTCAGCACATGTTTGAAGATTCAAAGCTTAATTTTAAAAAATCATAATTATCTTTGATTTTTAAAAATTTGTAGGAAAGGAAAGTTTTTTTTTTGCTTTTTTTGACACAACGGCTGTTCCTACCTTGCCCAAAAACATAACAGTTTCTCTATGTGACAGCACGGATCGAATGTAAAAAAACTAGAAGTCTCTTCTTTTTCTTGTTATTGAGATTTCTTGCTTGTTTGCTTGCCAACTCTCACCACAAATTTAAATTCTTTTTTTTTGCAGAAGATGCAAACATTCAGCTATAAACTTCTGTGAATAGTTTTTGTCATTCTGCTTCGTTTCCGCTCGAAATTCAAACAACTGATTTTTCGATCTGAACAATAGCAATACATCAAACATGAATACGGTGTGAATATAAAAATTTCAAAAAGCTCAAGTTATTTAGCATAAAGGAACTCTATAGAAAGCAATTTATTCATCAAATGGAGGTCATGTGTCAGTTGCGCTCAAAAGGTAGGTAGTTGTTGCTATATCAAATGATTTACACAGTCAAAATTAAGCTAATAATATTAGGATTCATAAAACTTTGATTAACCTTTTTTTGGCATTGATTTGCTCCATTTAGTATGTGTTATTTCACAGAGACACATAATGTTACAAAAAAGTGATACAATTAAAATTTCATGAGCTTATAAATTAAAAATGAAGCAAGCAATTATGCTTATAGCTTATGTATTGTAAAAATTTCCACATATAAGTATAAAATTACAATTTTTATGTCATGTGATATGATAGGTGCGGTGTTCATTATCAAGTGAGCAACTTTCATTCCAAACAATTGCTTTAAATTGCAAATTAATTGGGACAACGTTCACAAACTTTGTTACTGAATTTTTGAAGACGAACAAGTTAATTAAATTAATTACCATGAGAGCTTTTTAAAAGAACAAATGATTTTTTTTAATTAGTTTATTTTTAACTTTATTATACAGTCAAGGAA